ATTATCAACTTTGTTGTATCATAACATATAAATGAGTTGTATATTGTATTTCTAAGCTGAAATCATATTTTTATTTTTTTTCTGATTTGTAATTATTTTATAATTGAATTTTAAAAAGGTTTATAACTTTGATAAATAAACTTCAAATATATGGAAACCTCAAAATTTAGTTCCCAAATGATTCTTGGAAAGCCATATAGGATTATACTATATTTTTCAAAATTATATAATTGGATAAATATTTATCAATTATGATTTTTTATTTTTCAAAAATTATATATTATGATAAATCTTTATTAATTATGATTTTTTTTTCTTTGTGCGGATCATGTACGAACAAGTTGAGGCATTTATAGAAGCTGAAGCAATATCTTGATTGAACTTTTGGCTAATTTGAAAGAAAATTCACCATTTTTTTATAGTTTAATTATAAATATAAGATAACAAAAATTCAAATGGATAAAAGCTTGAAAATACAAGAACACCAAATTCAGATCCATGTAGATATTAGACAATATTTCAAGCCATATAAGTACATTAATATACAAAATGAATATACATTGTGTACCTAAATTGGTATATTCATGTTTTGATGTGCCACCCATCTAATACCATATGAAACAAAATCGTATGTTTCAAATCGATAGCTAATGGATGCGTAGACCACTCCATTTAGGATGGTATATAGTCAGGGATAAGCGTATCAGTTGGTACTTCTCTATTATGTATCGATACGATCATATCTATCTCCTAAGGGATACGATCATATCTATTATGTATCAGTTGGTCCAATGGCCGAATCAACAATTAGGCTTGTGTTACCCTTTAGATCCTCCTCCCTCCTCTTTCACTCGCTCGTTCACACACTCTCTCAATCGTTCTCATACTCTCACTTTGTTTAATCTTCTAATTGATTGGTATAAATCAACCTCTTGATTTTTCACAAACGAGCACTTTGTTTAATCGTCTAAATTCTCCAACGGAAGGTATTTAGTTTCCTTCTATATTTTTTTTTTATTATTTTATATGATTACTGATTTATTAATGTATGTTTAGGAACATTAAGCACATTATCTTACGTTTAGGTCCACTTACCTAAAATTATATTCATTTATGGCATACATACACTTGATTCTTATTTAAATATAATTTATATATGAGAAATTTAAAAAAATGCTAAAATATATTTTTTAAAAATTTAGACTATTTTTAATTTTTTTTAGAATATAGGTATATATCGGTGTATCAACACATGATACACTAATATCTACTAATATGTATTAATCCGAATGATTGATATAATCGATCGATATGAAACAAGGTTCTTTGGATATTATATTTTAATTAGTTCTTATAATTTAAAAATACATATATATATATATATATATATATATATATATATATATATATATATAGTATTAA